CCAATACCAAAAACGACAATTGAGTGTTAAACTAGCATAAAAAACGTAGGAATCAAAAGCGCGGCAAAACACACTAGAGCAGATATCAATTAGCTCGAAATAATTAAATATATTAAAAAACAATACAATTTAATAAATGTACAAAAGGTTTTAAAAATTAATATAATATAAAGTAAGACAAAATAAAATAAAATTATATAAAATAGATTATTATAAAATAAGATAATATAAAAAATATAGAATGATACGACATAATATAATATAAAATAATGAAATTGAAAATCATTTACCATAATATCATATAATATATTATAATAAAATTTAATATAATATAATATGAACTACTATAATTTAATATAACTTAATATAATATAAAAAAATTTAATTTAATATAACAGAAAATAACATTTTATAAAAGAAAAAAAAATCATATAATCTAATATAATATAATATAAAATAATATAATATAAATAATATAAGATATTATAATATAGTATATTATACTATAACACAAATTGTATAATATAATATAACAAAGTATAAAATAATATAAAATATTATAATATAATAAACAATTTGTATTACATGATATTATACTATATCATATAATATAATACGAGTCAAATATTCCGCTAAAGACTTTTTTGAAGACTGAGGACAGAGAAATGAAGTTAAAACGACTCTAGGGGAGTATGCAGACACAAATGGGAGTAGGCAGTCTTTCAATAGACACCCCTTTAAAAAAATAAGTAGAAGTTTCTGAGAATAACTAAAATTTTTCCAACAAAATTAGAAATAATTTTAATGACGAAAAAAAGAAATTTCAACAAAGCAATTGGTAAACATACAACCAACTTGAAAAGGGCATAGGGAATATTGAAAAGTGTGTTACCGTTAAAAATAACCAAAATTAGGTCATTAAGCCAATAACAAATAGGCCGAAAGAACAAAAAAAAAAAGAAAAAAACACGAAGTCTAGGTAAGTAAAATGACAAATTGTAGTAAATCATACAGTAAAAGCAACATTGAAGAAAAATGCGCGCAGCAAAGAAATGATTCCAAGACGTGACAACCCAGCCAACGACAGATAAGCAGAGAAATAGTTGACCGAATCTTTTTTTTTGAAACAGAATTTTTCCCGTTTGAAAAAAAAAAACAGGCCCTGGTCAAATTCGAACCCAGGACCTTTGCCATTCGAGGTATATTTACTAACCCCGTGCTAAGTTGGCTCGGAGCGCATAAAAATGTGAACTCACTATGAACTAAGATACAAGTGATTCCGGAAAAGTCTATATTCCACTTTGATAACGCTTGCTAATCGCAAGTATAAAAATAAAATATTACAATAGAATATAAAAACAATTTAAAACAAATTATTTTATTTTTTTGAAAAAATTAAAAAATTATTTAAAATAATGAAATATTAAAAAATTTAGACTGAGTCGAAGCTGAGCTTCGCACCAATGGTAATACAATACATGTCAAAAAACTCGAACTAACAAAATGAATCAGGCTAGTTTCAAACCAAAAACCCGCCAAGACAACCGAAAATGAAATTAGCATTAGAATGAACTCACCAAGCACTAGCAAAGCCGTAAACACTTTAGCAGAAATTTTTTAAGTCGGAGTAAAATCAGCAAGATATAACACTTTCAAACTAATCATAAAGTCACACTTGCCCTCAAAACACGCATGTAAAATTTTTAGTTGCTCAACAAATGCAATAATATGATGTCGCTAAGCCGATTCAAAATAGACCGAACTTTATCAGGCCTTACAAAAGAAAAAACCAAAATCCAAATCTCTTGAAAAAATTTTATGACTAAAAAAGTTATTAAGTCCCATTCACTCTCAAAACGCACACACACGCATATGCAAAAATATTTCTTGTCAAAAGACGCAATATCATGCCATACATTCGTTTTTTCTTGGGTCGAAAACATCAAACCGAACAGTAAAAATTAGCATGAAAAAAAAACAAAAAAAATTTTCGGTCTAAGAAATTTGAAAACTATTAAAAAATCAGAGATAAAAATGTCTAGCATAGAAAAAGAATCTAAATAGTGAAAATAGTCATATCTTTAGCAAAAAAAGACAAAAAAGGAAGAATTTGAAGTCAAGGCTAGCAGAACGTTAAAAAAATCAGAGCACTAAAAGCAAAAACAACCTGTACAGCAAGCAAAAACAATTCTACGATGTGTCAGTTAAGACGACAATACATGAACAAACAAATTTAAGGCCGAAAAAAAAAATCTTTAAACGGAGAATAGGAACTTTGTCGTCCCAGGTGTGTTCTTTTCCTCTCAAACCAAGCTAAAGTGAGCCCGAGATGCAAAAAACTTTGTATTCATGATGAATGAACCCACTTAACAATTTTTAATTTGACCATTCTGTGAACATAGTTATTTACGGGATAAAATCTAGTACACGATGCAATTCAATTCCCTTGTTTATAGCAAGGGTAAATATAAGAAGTATACAAAAAAAATTAATTTGGAAAAGCATTTTTTTTAAAATCAATTGATTAGAGAAAAATTGAAATTGAAGAAAAAAAAATTGACATTATACTTAAACTCTAGTTGTAAAATTAAATTAAAAAAATCGAGTTCAGCGAGATTTTGAAATGCTTTCATGACAAAAATTGCTGTTGAATGACAAAAAAATAGACCATCAGTCGTTCTGTTGAAAACATTCATTTACGGAATAAAATGCAGCATCCTTCAAAAAATCGAAAAGATAAAATCATTTAGTATAACTGCTTGCATACTTGTGACAAACACAGCTTATTTTGAAGATATGCCCAAATCAAAATGAGAATAGCCAACAACCAGTAAGAAAAAAAATCAAAAACGCAGCATTACGAGGCCAAAATGTGCACTGGATAGGCGCACAATTTTGTGTCTGTATGTTCCTGGATTCCAGAGACAAGTCTTTAAACATGTGAAAATTTTGTCGGAACGATCAAAAGAAAGTAAAAAACAAAAGAAAAACAAAGGGAGCGTCCTTGTTGCGGAATCCGCTTACAATGCACAAAATGCACAGTTTGGCCTCGTAATGAAGGAAACAAAAAGAAAACTGACTTAATGTTGGAGAAAAACTTCAGTTATGAATTTCGAAGTAAAAATTATATGGCTTTATAGCCCTTGTAATTATCAGAGCAAATTAGGATTGACCATTTTTTTGATAAAATCAACCCAATTTGAGAAAATTGGATAAAAAGACAAACTTTTTTTCATTGGGAAACCTGATAGTTGAATAATGTTTTGTAATTGAGAAATCGGGCATTTTTTGTGCAATGATTGAGTTTGCTTTTCTTTTAACTACGAAAACAATTTGAAGTTAAACAGAAATCAAATTTCAAAGTGCGAAAAATCAAACTTGATTAAAACTTGCATTTTTTCTTAAAAACCAGTTTTAAAATTCATCACGGTCTCTATAAATGACAGTCTTTTTGTTCTTCTCCACTTAAATTATACCAAATGGGAGTTGGTATATTTACTACTAACATAAAAAAACGGACAATTCGAAAAAATCAATGAAAGCAAAGAAACAAAAAAGCTCATGTTAAAGAAAAAGTTTCAATTTCGAACTTCCAAGTAAATAAATATGACCCTAATGCTCTTTGAATTTCGAGACGAGTTTATGATTGACACAATTCTAAAATGAACTTAACTCAATTTGAGAAAACTGGATCAATAAATAGAGTTTTCGTTCCATCGGTAATCTAAAAATTAAATTCCACCGTTGAATTTATAAACCGTTCGTTTTTTTTGCGTCATTTCCACATTTTTATGTGGGGATCGCAAATAATTTTAAACAGATAAAACTGAAAAGAACTTAAAGAAGTGAAAATACATGTAACACATTCATAAATGCATTAATATGAAACATAAGAAACAGAGACATCATTTTTCAGCACTTCGCTTTCTTTGTTATTGATCCAACCATTTGAAAAGTGTGGAGGAACTTACTTAAGTCCCTTCAGTCATAATTCGAGCAAAATTAGAAAAAGTTTGAAGTTTTTTTCTGAGTGTTGGAAAATTTATGATTTTTGGTTAAGGTCAGGCTAATAAGGTGAACGGACAGGCTTACGACAGCTTATTTAAGATCAATTTAGGCCACGAAAACTTAATTTTACATGAGTTAAGTGATTTTTTGGTGTTGTTTATTTCCCGTTTTTCTGGTCATTTTTCTACAAAAACTGTGTTCCAATTACCAAATTGACTATGACTGTTTATTTTTTTCGTTGAGATATTTTTATCACTTGACAGAGAAAAAAAAACAATACTTATTTAAAAAACATAGACAAATGACATTTAGAAAAGAGTAATGAACGCAAGGAAAATGAAAAAAAAAAACTAACTTGTTTCTTTTCAAAAACCTTCAAATTATGAATTTCGAAAAAAATAGATGGCCGTAAAAATGTTTGAATTTGTAGAACAATTTATGATGTAGAGCAGTTAATACTAAGATTCACCCAATTTGAAAAAAAAACTTGATCAATAGGCAAAACTTTGATGCTTTTAATGTTTCGATGGGAAATCTGATAATTAATTTCCAATTTCGAAATTAGAAGTCGATTAAGTTTTTCGTGACATTTACACTTTCCTGTTCGATAGTGGAGTTTGAATTCCTTTTAACAATGGAAATGCATCGAATTTAAAAAGAAATCACAAGTCATACCGCGAAAAATCAAAATTGAGCGTGCACAAATTTTAAGACTTTTCCCAAAAAAAAAACAAGAAAAAAATCACCAAGACTTATGTAAGCGTACTCACTGCGTTAATAACTCTTTAGAAAAAATGCATGTATTTTTTCAAGACTATGGTTGCCACATTCTGTGCTATTTGCAGAGTAGCCGTCTATCTTTATTATCTATTCGATTTAGCAACTGGGTCTCCAACTGGTCGATTGTCGACTTCTCCAAAATGCTTTCCGCGATTCATTTTCATGGACGCGCCATTTTTGCCTTACTCGTCCGAATAAAAACGAAGCCCAGAGTAAACAATTGAATTGAAATATCTAAAAATTTTCAGAGCATTTTGAACATTGATCATATAATTGTTGAGATTAAATTGACGATTAGTAAAATGATATATATATATTCATGAATCAAGAATCCATTATTCCACTCAGTGGTTCACAACATCAAAATTGGTTGACAGATTATCACCAGACCCAAATTAGGGCCTAAACCTCCAACACTTAAACATTTATACCACTATTATCCAATTTGAACAATTCAAGGAGTATGGTTGCCTCAAAATTACAAAGACAAACACGATTAACTATTCTTTTTCATCTTTGGGAAAGCAATATTAAAATATTGACACAATTATATTAAAAGCATCAAAACATCGAGTTCTAAACGCAAGAGGAAATGAAAAAAAAGCACGCCAACTATTGACGAATAAGTCATTGTTTTGTACATTGCCAATAAACTCGGAAACACATTACAGATTCAATGATTGCAATTTGTGAGCAATAGTTTTGGATCAAATGAACTTAACAGGCACATCATTGAACGTTTCAAATTATAATCTTCATATGGCCCATCAAAAAGTTTTTTCCAGTATTACTGGCAATTATGGTATAGTTTTACCAAAACACGGGCTCTGAAAAATCATATTTGTTTTGCCAAGTTTAATTGATCTCCGATTTCAGTCAGCATAGCACAAGAAAGTACTCAAAAACGTATGAAACTAGCACATATAGGGTTGATATAAAAAGTTCAATCAAGGAATTGTACTTCCCTCATTGAGGTTGAGTTTTGTTATTCTTAGATTGAATTATAGTTTCAGAAGGTAACGCCAGTTAGCTGGGCAGCTGCTAGCGCTGCCTCATTCATGATTTCTTGTGCTGCCACATCCGAGCTGATATTTTCTCCAGCCGCAATTTGAGGATAACTGAAGCAGTTTGCTTCAGCATTCATTTGGACACTCTGTTGCACGTTGTAAAGCGCAGCAGCTTGTGCTAACATCGCCTGCTCTATTTCCGCAGTTGAAGCGATGCCTGGAGGAGCTGCAAAGAGATGTTGATTTTCCACGCAGCAATTCGAAGACGTCAAGTTCAAATGCGAACCGCCGTTTGCTTCCACATGGTTATGAAAAGATGTGTCTCTGTTTTGAAGTTGACTCAGCTGATAACTCATTTGAGCCGCCTCATAACCCCCGGTCACTGAATTTTCCACGCTGAAAATGTTGTTGTAATCATTTGATTGTTGAGCAGCTGCAGCTATTAACAAGTTTTCGTCGAAAGTCAAACCATTCTGCGAAAGCTGAGAATTAGTGTGTGGAGTGGGATACGCATATACGTCACCAGGATAACTATCAGGAATGTTGTGGACGTATTCAGATCTACAGCTTTGACTTGCATTGTAATTCGGTACACTCGGAGAACCAGTATGTTGGGATAAATTAATAGCATTCTCTTGGCTAGACTGATAGAAAGCGCTTGGTGACTGATGGTTATACATATTAGCACTAACACCCGGCGTCGAGGTCGCTGATTGCATTCCATTGCAGTAACTACCCGAAGAGTCAGAATAAGACATCTCCGGTTGATTTGGGTAACCTTCTGTAGCGAAATGAACAGGAGTGTGAGTGGTCGCATTTAAAGAGTCTGAGACATTAGCTGGGGTCCTTGAAACACTAGAAGACCAGGTTGAGCTCCCAGATTCAACCGATTGCTGCATGAAGCTTCGGTCTACTGGTGGAATTACATAATTCTGCGGATCCTGGCAGCCCACTATTTCAGATTTTGTGTCCAAATTTTGAGCATTAGTCCAACGATCCAGACACATCTTGGGTTCCATTGTTGCGTTCGGTGCCCATGTGATTCCAATAGGTCGAACCAGTTCCTCAGTCGATGCCGGTGTAGCCATGGGAAAAGACGTGAGAGGACTTACAGGCCCGTTATTTCCATTCACAGAAAACAAATACGTACTAAGTTCTTTGCAGTCATCTGAAGCTGAATTGACGTTGTGCACAGTATCCAGTATCTGTCGATCCCGGTCGGCGTCCCACAACTCACGGATATGGGGATAGAAATCACAGTCGGCAGGAATCATGTATTCGTCTATCATACTTGCTAGATTGGCCCCATTTTTCCTTGCAAGATTAGTCTCACTTTCATGAATTCGCTCCAAAACTGCAGCACCATTCAAGGGCAGAAGTTTCGGAAACTTGACTCTTATTTCCTTGAGGTTGCCTGTCTCATTGCACGCCTCAGTGAATCGCGCGTCATCGCCGAAATTAACTTGATAACCAATTTTACGAAACGCCGAGGTAGGTGCGGGAATATTACTTCTAATTCCTGTCGATTTCTTTGCAGGAGGCTCTTCACTGATATCTCTGAAGTCGCGCAGATTGTTTAATTCAGAATCTTCCAGTTTCGAAAGATTTATTTTGAAGTTGTTTGGCAAAACTACCTCCGGATATGTGCAGCTGCTGGCAGGCAGGAGGCAGAAAGTAGTTTCTTTCATGACAATAGTTTTTATAAGTAGGGCTCTTTTTGTTGGCCTGTAGTTGTCAAATCCCGGAGTTTTAATCAACGCTCTGAAAGTGTCCAAAGACGTAGGATTCGACTTTCTGGACAGATCTGGTTTTCGGCAACCTCGCTCAGAGAAACCGCTACCGTTATTGTATGACGCCTAAAACATATTGAGATATATGAGAAAAAATATGCAAACTTTTTTTACAGATAAGAGCAACCGATTGCTGTGAGAGTAGCATATATTGTTCCGACCAAATAACCATCGCAATTTTGCTCCTATGAGCAAGTGTGGCACAGAAATCTGCTACCAGCAATGCCTTTTAGAGCGATATTTTAAATATAAATATATATATATTTTAAGAGTTAAATGAAACTAGCATACCCAACGCTGCGAAGCAGCTTCGACAAACACAGATCTTGCAGGTATACTAGAGCATAATCAGAAACAAAACCCTAAAATCGCTGACAGTATAAAACTGCATTTTTCAAATTCAAAAGAAAAATTTCTGAAACGATTTCATTTGTAATATAATTAAATTCACCAATTAGATTCTTACTACCAAACACACTTACTACCAAAGACGCTTAATAAATAACAAATAATAGCCAAAAATGATGCAAAGAACAGATGTTATGAAAATTCCAATGTTACAGATCATGATTATAGCAAAAGTGTCACCAAATCATGTATTTTGCGACCAAATATTGAGCACTTACATTTGCGACTTAGGGTAGAAAAAAAGAAAGTTCAAACTATTACACTAAAGCTCGCAAGCTGGCTAGTGTAAATAAATTTTACATTTCGAATTGAAATTTTGATTATGCTGAAAATTTGCTTAGTTGAAACGAAAGAATAGGTATTGATGAAAACTTGGAAATCAACTTTTTAGGCTGAATTAATCAGTTATTTATTTCCTGAACTTGTGTAAAAAGGATTACGCTGAAGTTGATTACGCAAACAAAAACATTATTGAAATTGCTAGGTTTGTGATAACTATAAAAATTTTCACTTACAACGGCTGACAAATGTATCACGATTGAACAAAACATACGATCTATTTTAATATTGCCCGTTGAAGTTATGGCTGTCTCATTATGATGAATATCAGAGGACAACATGAAGGTCACAAAAGAAGCGTTTGAGAAAATATCAACAATGAAACCCCCAAAAAAGCACATTTTGTTTTCTCTGTACTTACTCAAAATTTCAGTCAGAGCAGCTTTTAAAGCACTCAAAGATGTATCTGAAGGTCTTCTTTGATGTAAGGAAAACAATTAAAAATCGAACACTGTGTGGTGTAATACAACGAAATTAACGTTATTCACAATTTCTGAACGACAGTTTCTGAGATCGTAAACAACAATTCCAGCATGTGGTCAAGAGTTACATATTGATGCAACATCAAATCTTTGCAAATTAAAACCTGGAATTTCGAAACTTGTTATTAACAGTTGGAATTAGCCATGTTTCAGAGAAAAAAAAATTTCAGATGCCTTGACAAAGGGTTGACGAGAAGCAAGGTTACAACTTTTGGCAAGAGTCTGAACATTCTCGAAGAGTATTTGAACTTTTGGAATTTTGGGTACACTTGCGAGAAAACGACGAAAAAGCAGCTCTATCAAGTGAAATAAGAAGTAGAAATAAGCCTCAAATTAGCAAAAACTAGGCTACGTGAAGATTTCGAATCTACAACCTAACGCAATCAAAAGATTTTGAGTCTCACGCACTATCAACTCAGTCACGCAAGCTTAACAACCAACAAACACTAGTCACGAATAAAGTAGTTACAAATACTAACAAATAGCCAATGCGATTCAGCAAAAGTGAAACCAAATACAAAGACACAACTTTGCAAAAAAAAATTTGGAAATTAACAAACTGAAGACGTCCAAACTAAGTTTGCATGTAACAAATCGGAAAGCATAAAGCCACATAATGTCTAAATTATGCATTTCAAAAAATTGCGAGATATATTGAGTTTGAAAAATTCTGAAATCTACTTTCCACTATTGTTATTTTGTTTGAAACTAAATCACTTTTTTCGGTTCATTTGATGAATAAAAAATGCATCAACTGTGTTAACTAATTACTATTCGAATTTCGAATCACATGCTACGAAAAAGCTGTAAAGGTGCCCCAAAAGTGGCACCAATATTTGCGACTTAGTTTGGAAAAAAAAGAAGGATCGTACTAATACACTCGCTTCGCAAGTGTAAAAAAAATTTCCATCGGTTAAAATTTGTATCTGACCCGGGAGTTTTCATATTGCGGCGTGAAATCATTCATCAATATACATATTACCAGAATAAATATTAATAACATTTTCTTGATTTTTGGTTTAGTAATTTAACTAACTTTTTTGCAACAAGAAAAAAGAGAACTTAAAGCTCAAATAAATTAAAACTAATAGCTTAATGAATATTTAAAACAATATTTGATCTCTTTACCTGCTTCATCGGCGCTACATGTACTCTAAAAACGATAAAATCAAATCCACTTTCCTACCAAACATTTTATATCTTTGTGAACGCACATCACTACCCAATGCGCTCGGTTTTATGGACAAATCACTTGGCTACATACCACTACCAGTTCGTAACCGGCACATTTCGTAACCGGAGAACGTATGTTGCCCCTTTTGGAGAAACAATTCGAACTGAACTTAAAAAAAATCAGAAGTCCCAATCACAAAACAGTAAATTTGAGCGTGAACAAAAAATCAAGACAACCCATGTATGTGTGTCTGTACCATGTTCGTTGACACTGCATGAATTAGGCGCGAAACGTAAATAATTGTTTGGAAATAAGGAAATGCCATTTATATATACTTGGCAAATAAACAGAATAGTAGCTCTATAAAAACGTCAAAATTAATTAAAGAAATACTGAAAATTAGCAAGTATCGAAACACGCCTTGAAAAACAACCAACTTCAAAAAGTAACAAGGATAGCCAGTTGCTGTGCAAGTAGCACAGAATGGTCCAAAAATACTGACTTGAGAAAAAAAATTCAGACACAGAGACGAATCTGAGCTTCGCACCACTTGCGATACAAAAATGAATGACCGTGATTAAAATCAAATGAAAAATAAAAAATTACAAAAAAAACCTCCGAAAATTGTTTTTGCCATAAGATTTATAAAATAGCAAAAACCCAAAACGTCTGAAGCAAAATTACCAGCACCAATATAAAACTTTACAAGGAGCTTTCGGTATGCTAGAAAGAAGCCGAACTTTCAAAGAAAATAAGCTTGCTTGCAAAAAAAAAGAATTTCCGACTGGCATCGAAATAGGGGCTTTGAAGTCAATCACGCGTGTTACAGCAACTAAGCCGAGAAAAATAAACAGACGCGAAAATAAAACAAAAAAATCAGGCCCGGCCCAATTCGAGCCACAAGCTTTTGCTGTCTCAACTAGATGTGTTATCTCTATACCAGATGATTGACTGTAAAAGAATTATAACTTGAAGACAGCAAAAGAAAGCCAGTAAGTCCATTAAAAAACTGGAAAAACCTTCAAAAACAACTGGATTTATGTTCTATTTGCGGAAAAAACGTCCAGAAACACAATGGACGGCAATTAATGAAAATTCAAAAATGAAAAAGAAGCAGGAACTGAACCGACAAATCTTGAATAATTTCCTGTAGAACCGAAAATATAGTTGTTTTCATGAAAAACATTGAACTAAAAATTCTAAAACTTTGTTCAATCTGGCATGAAGCATTAAATTTATGCTTCCGTTGACAAACCCCAAATTAAATCCCTAGCCGATAAAATATAAGCAAAATCAATTTAGGTTGAATAAAATGTGCAAGCAAAATAAAAAACAAAAAAGCAATACGAAGTCAAGACTAGTAAAATAACAAACTGCAGGAGTAATTCAAAGCACTAAAAGCAACTAAACTCAAAAATTGCGTTAAAAAACCATTTATACGATGTGGCAACTAAGCCGACAACACATAAGCAGACAAACAATAGGCCGACCTTTTGGAGAGGCAATATTCCAGTTTGAAACAAAGTTCCTGATCAGATTCGAACACACAAACTTTGCCGTCCCAGGCGTTTCCTTCAGGCTGAGTTAGAGACGCATAAACATTTGAATTCTTTACGAAACAAGCCACACCTCTTTTAAATAAGTTGTTAAGCCGAAAAAAATACATGTACCCATTTGATAACGCTTGCTGATAACGCAAGTCTAATAATTAGAACAATTTAATAACAAGAACAAAAATGCAACAGTGACGAAAATGCAATAATTATAAGAGCTAAATCAATGTTACAACTGTGGTTGAATGTAATTTTATGGTCAGCCTCTGATCAAAACGTCTAACTTAGTCTGAAAATACAAAATTACTCAGATCGGTTTTGATTAATATTTGGGGTCCCGATACCGAAAAAAAACAAGTTCAAAATATTTGGTTTTTAGACAAAATTCGAGCGAAATAAGCGAACCAGCAGGCCTACAATAGCGTAATTTAAAAGCTTAATAGCTCACAATAACTTAATTTGGACGGTGAAAATTTAGATTTACCCGAGTAAAAAAAAACTTTTTCCTTTAAACACACTTTCAAAAAAAATTGCCATCAAACAACGCGACCTCAAGCAATTGAGTCGATATATTATAAACAGCAACCTTTGAAAAAAGAGGAAAATTTCGAAGAACAAGGAACTAGAAAAAATTAATTGAGGATTTTTGAACAATTTGTAACTTTCGAACAAACAATTTTTTCGTTTAACCTCATTGATTTTCAAGAATCAATTCTGTTTGGCTTTTTGACTTAGAAGCTATCCTATTTAGAGAAAGCTGAATCAATGTATAATTTCTATTTTATTCTCTAAATTTAGAAAATTACAGGTCTCTTTTGAAACTAGAAGTCAATCAGAGTTTTCGTCAATCGGCAGATAAATTTGAATCGAAAGTAAAAAATTCAAATCTACCATAATTGTATTAAAAAATATACGAACATCATCAGTAGTTATAAGAACACTTAAAGAATTTTCAAAATAAAAGTGAGCAAAAATTCACCAACGCCTATATGAGAGTCTTCACTCCGTTCATGGACTAAATCAACTTTCGAAATTAGAAGTCGAGCACGTTTTTAGTGATTTGAACAAAATTTGGATTTTTCCTTGAAAAACAAACTTGAGAAACATCACTACTACATCACTGACAATAACATTGTTCTTTTCCACCTTAATCAGAATTAAAGCAAATTTCAGTTGGTAAACTTTCCACTTATATTAAACACAGATGCGACTCCGCACTTAGCAAGCAAAAGCGAGAAAAAGGCAAAAAAAATCTAAAAAGCATAAATAAAATGAAATAAGGAAAAAGAACAGGTGGAAATGAGCATGGAAAAGTAAAACATGCAATTTGCCGGAAACAATTGCCATTTGCCAGAATCAAACTTCCAACCTGGACACTAGGAGAATCTTTTTTTCGTATCTGCGCCACGGTTGCTCAAAAATTCAACAACACTAGCTACCAAACATAGCCAATCGAAGATAGGAAATGAGCAATGAACGCAAGTAAACATAAAAAAAAACAAAGATAAAATCTCAACTTTCGAATTTAAAGAAAAAAAGATGCACTTTAAGCTCTTTGAGTTTCTAGAACAATTTATGATGGTCGCTTTTTTGATAACATGAACCCAACTTGAGAAAACTGGATCAATAGGTAAAATTTTTATTCTGAAAAAGAGCACTATACCTAGGTGTATCAATATTTTAAGAAATATTCCTGAAAAAAAAAATCAGCAAGACCTATATGAGTCTTCACTACGTTCATTACTCTTAATATATCAGCAACAATAACTATTCAATTGACAAGGCTATTCAGCAACCACCAAATAATACTCAAACATTCAATTTGACAAAAAATGAACCTCCACGCTGTAGATTAGAAGTCTCACATCCTGGCATCTGCACTATGATTGCCTGAAAAAATTACGGCCCAGCTAAAGCTGGAAAAATCAGTTTGATAAAACAAGAAAAAGTACAGGTGCAAAAAAACAGCGAGTAATTTTTCAAAATGTGTCAAATGTCATGGACATTTACCAAGTACATAGCTGATTCCTTGTCTAAATTTCGATTAAAGTACCTTTGCAGTGAAAATTATTAGAACACCGCAGTTTCTTGATTTCAGAATTACCACAGTCGCTTTTGATCAAATGAACGAAGACAAAAAATGGATCAATACGTCAATAAAATCATTAGTTCAAAACGAATTCTCAGCAAAAGTTCGAAAGTTGAATCCTTAATCTCAAATTGGCACCGAAGTTCGAGAAAACCAAATAACTTCCCAAAAGGAACAAAATTTGCGAAATTGAATTTCAAAACCAAGATTGCTTTTCTACAAAAACTAAAGCAGAGCCGCATTGCAGAGAAAACTCCCAGCGCCCGTTCTTTTGTTTGAAATCTTCGATTGAACCTCTCAGATTTGGCAGTACAGTTTGAGAAAAAAGAAAATTTCGAACAGTCAAAAATTCGGAAGAAGAATTTTTCTGAGTTCAAACGGAATTTCTACGGTAAATATTGCATAGCTGCTCAAACACAAAAAAAGCAGCTACTTTTGTTTAGATTGAACTCTTTATGCCAAGTTTGGCAGGGTAGTGTAAAAGAATAGTCGAATTTCCAAAAATTGTCAAAACTTCTTTTGGTAGGATTCCAAACAGCAGCTCTTAAGATTGAACCCACAAACTCCAATCTTTAGCAGATTACTACTAAATAAAACAAATATTTTCCGAGAAACGGTCAAAAACATAAAAATTGGATATTTTCTGAGGCCATAAAGCTTTGTCTACAAAAACAAGGACAAAGCAGCTTATGCAAGAGAGATCCACATGATGAATGAAATCGTTACCTCAAGTTTTACAGAGTAATTTTCGTAAGCAAAATCCAAAAAGGGCTCAAAAATTCCCCCATTGAAACTTTCGAAGGCGGTCGGGTAAGATGAGATACTAGGAGAAAATGCAGCACACAGGGTCTTTCAATCACCGAAGATATTTGCATAGGTCATACTCGGTTTTTGTATTGGTATTTCTACCACTTCTGTAAAAAAAGGTGCCGCAAACGTAGGGCCAATAGTTACGACTTGGGTTGGAAAAAAGTTGCCTAGTATTACACTACTCTTCGCGTGTGTAAAAGCATAGCCAACAGAGTTACGCTCGCTTGTGAAATGAACAAATTGTTGTCCGTTGGACAGTTCCGCTCGAGGTCTCACGGGAAAGCGAAACACCCTATATATTAATAAGGAAACAAATAACAGTGATTTGACAGAAACGTATTTAAAAGAGGAAGCAACTGCTTTTACTCTTTGAATTTCGAGTCAGGAACAGTTTACCGCTGACGCATATTTGATTAAATAAACCCAATTTAAGAAAACTGGATCAATTAATAAATTTTTAATTCGCTGGGAAACCTGAAAATTAAATTCCACTTTCGAAAATAGAGCTCAATCAGGTTTTTCACGAACTTAACAATTTTTTTTTGATCCATAGTGAAAAAAGCAATCAAAGCAAATCGCGAAAAATTAAATTTGGCGTGAACAAATTTGAGAACCTTTTCTGAAAAGTTAAGACCTTTTATCCACGAGGGAAAGGACCAACATACGAGCTGTACAGCTCATCACGGCGAGCCGCTGTTGTGCCCCTGCTTATGAACTACATTCAATTTTTTGGTTGTTTCTAAAGTTATAAAAAAAGGGCTTAAAACTGTAGGAATAAGCATTCTTTTCTTTAAAAGCAAAAATTGAAAGAAAGACATCAAAACTTCACTCACAGCATACTTGGTGTAGGCTTTCCTGTTTTCATTTCCCGAAATCGCAACCGGCGAAAACGGTCTCAGCGAGGCCATCTCTGAAATTCAACATTGATTTGAAGACAATTTGTGATAATACGCGGAGTAATCAGAGCACGAACTGAAATTGTGAGCAGAAAATTTGCGAGCCCCAAAAAATACTATTACACTATTTTTTGTCGAACTATTTCAAAAAAGTACGAATAAACAGACAAGTTCAAATATGGGGTCTTTTCAGTTTTTCCCGAGTGCTATAAAAGGAGTACTAGTTGAACTTTTTTGTGCTACAGAAGGGAAACACGTGACACGAAAAAGTGATAACAACCACTGCGTTACCAACCGATGAATAGTTGTTCTGGCTGGTAAGAAGTCCAACGGTAGAAAGTCTTCTTTGATCCCCTGTCAGACTGCTTCTCTTTCGCTATCAACTTCAAGCTGGTCAACACATTGGCAATGTCATACAGTCTCCTGATCTTCGCTGAAACATTAACACCTAGATATTGCAGCTCTAAAAAACCCAGCTCTTATTAGTGGTAAAAAGATAAAGACATTAAGGCAATTGGTTATTCTAATGTTCTGTGTTTGTTACCAGTAGGTGAGATAAAATAACCCACCACCGAAAACTAGTAGAAAAAATTTGCACTCAGATCTTAATCTTAAGAACAAAAACAACAGTTATCTGTAATAAATCTACTTACGGAAGTGTTTCGGCTCACAAGACCCCTTTTCTATATCTAAAACAACAAAAAATACACATAAAAATTTAGGAAAACACGATAGGTTATAAACTTGAAGTTTTTACTTACAAGATTTGACACACTTCGAGTTTCTAGCCATGCTTCTAATCAATTTCATCGGATCTTCTTCAGTCAAAATTTTGGCTGCGATATCCAGACTCACTAGTTGGTCCTGCAATGACATCAATTAGTCAATCAAACCTTTTCCAAAGCCACTTCTCCCGCACACTCACACATACACAAAAACCATATAATGAATAGTCACTTAGTTAACTTGCGAATCTAATTTAGCTCAGAAAGGTATCATCATCATAATAGTGTAAATACCTGACACAGTAATTAACCCGATAATTTTCATGATGTTTTGGGTATGATGATGCATGGTGTAATTTCACGATGAGTCTGTTTGGTTGCAAACCTCTTTGGGGGTTTCAACGAACACTTTTTATATGAAACCAATTCGAACTAAAACTAATACTTTTCTTTATCCTTTTAACTAATTGATATAACTTTAATTTATTGTTCCAATTTTTGAAAAAAAAGACAAAATAAAAAAAAATATGATTGAGGTCGTTTTTTTATTCAGACCAATATCGACTCCAATTAAATATTTTTGACAGAAATTTTTGATACCATCAGAAATATAACAATGCCTTGGGCTGAAAAATTAAAAAATATTGTATCTGCGATTTTTTTGAGGTAATAGAGGTTTGAACTTGGGACTACTTTGGCCAATTAAAGATACCTTAAGCGCATGAAATTTCGTTCTTTTCATTAGCCCTCACCACATGCGGCAAATTGTTGCAAGTCGGAAATTCTCCAATTGTATTGTCTAAATCGAAAGTTCATTTCAAACAGCTCAGAAACTGTATAAAATTGAACTGAGGCAGGCATGTTAATTTGTCCAAATGTCTTTTTAGACGCAAAATTGATTACTTTGCACATCCCACTGGCTGTAGTTTTTTCCAAAGACTACCGAAGTTAACTTAAAAAGAAGACTGCTCGAATACAGGGCAAAGCCCTGAACGTTCCGACTGCCCACTAACCCATATCGAATAGTTTTTCGAAGAAAACATTGAATTCAATTCAACTAGAAAATGTTCACGTTTTTTTCGCGCCTTCCACGTTCGTATTTGGAGAGTGCTATTTATGTCACTACCAGCAGATTAATTTCAATTGGACTCAATAAGTGCACATACAGCTAAGTGCATTCATAAACGCATCAAAATGTATGAATGCACATCTGTAGTTCGAGAATTTTAAGCCTTTTTCATGAAAAAAAAAAAAAAAAAATCAGCAACATCAAATCTCGAAAACTAAACAGATTTGAGAAATCATCTTTGGAGACAAGATTCGTAATCCTTGAAAGCACTCTGACAGGACCCAAATACAGAATTGGGAATTTCAGATTTTGAAAAAATAAATAAATTAAATTTTCTGAATTTTACTTGAAAAAATCACAAAAAACGACATATCTCGAAAACTACAAGTGTTTGAACAGTCAAATTTGGAGATAAGAATTGCAGCTCCTTAGAGTACCCTGACAGCGCCCAATTACAGGGTTGAGAATTTAAATTTTTTTAAAATAATTAATTTAAATTTCTAAAAATTTGTGAAAAAATCACAAAAACGACATATCTCAAAAAAACAATGATTTGAGCTGTCATATTTAGAGGCAAAATTCGCAATCCTCGAGAGTGATCCGACAGGACCTAACTACAGGGTTGGGAAATTTCAGATTTTGAAAAAAAAGTTTTTCTGAAAATTTTTGAAAAATCATAAAAACGTCATATCTCAAAAACTATAAGGAATTGAGCAGTCATATTTGGAGATTAGATTCGCAATCCTTGAGAATACTCTTACATTACCCAACTACAGTATTACGAGTTTCAAATTTTGCAAAAATATATAATTTTTCTGAAATTTTTTTTAAAAACCACAAAAAACGTGATATCTCTACAAGAAAACTACAAGAATTTGAGCAGTCATATTTAGAGGCAAGATTCGCAATCCTTGATAGTACACCGACAGTACCCAACTACAGGGTTGGGAACTTCAAGTTTCGTAAATTATTTCGTAATTTGAGTTTTCTGAAAAATGTTTGAAAAATCACAAAAATAGTCTTATCTCACAAAAATCGTCTTATCTCGTTAACTAAAAGGATTTGGGCATTCAAAATTAGAAGCCAGATTTGCGACCCCTTAAGGATTCCGGACAGCATCCCAATATTGGGCTGCTTATTTTAAACTCTGTGAATTAATCACTAAAATAAAACTGGAAAATCGAAAAAAAAACCTTATTCATTGCAATATACGATATAGCTTAAACATGCAAAATAATACGTTGAAAAGGCTTGAACATGGCGAAATAGTGAAGATCTCATTTAAATAAATAATAGATTCAATTTTGAAACGATTTTGTTGAGCGGGATAATTCGCCATGCACACATAATTCGTCTCACGCGTTCAGCATGAAAAAAATCTTCAAAGCGCGCATAAATTAGTCCAAAGCTAGGCCAAATTGGTAAATTTCAAACTCTCATAACTTTGCAAAAAAGATCGGAGGTAAAAGTTTTTTTTAATTTGATTTTACGGAGTCGATATCTTCAATTGGGTATAAAAAAATTGTTAAAAACTATTTCGATCGCCAAAACTGACTGAATAAAAAAACCACACCAAGCATAAAACATAGCGAACTGACAATTGGAAAAGAGTGATGAACGCCAAAAATATAGAAAAAAACTGACTTGTAATTCCAAAAAACCTTAACTTTTGAATTTCGAAAAAAACAGATGTCTTTAAAGCTCTTTGAATTTGTAGAAAAATTTATGATGCACATTTTAAGGTTAAAATTAACAAAATTTCAGAAAACTGGAAGGTTACCGCTCGACTAGCATTAAGAGATTAAGAGAGAGGCGGATTAAGAGAGAGTGGATTAAGAGAGAGGCGAGGTTTGAGAGCGTTGCAAAAGGGGTATTCGTTTCGCATATGCTTATATCCGTTAAATTATTTCATTAAGGGGTGGCAACTCATTCATTACCCCCCCCCCTGCGACTTCTATTCACTCCAACGACCCTCCTCGTTCACACCCCATCAGACTCCACACACCGGGGGTGGATGAAAACGAGGAATTGTAAGCTGTGTCTGGGGGGTTAGGGATGACGGGGATAGTTAACAATTCATTAAAGGGGATAGTTAACAATATCCAATGATTCCAATTTGAAAATATTTGAATTTCGACAAAAGTTTCGATTTTTATGCTGGTTGATACGATTTTCATTTTTAAAACTTTTAGGCTAGTCGATCTTTACGCTAGTGGATACACCACACAGCCAACGGGATCAATAGGTAAAACGTTTATTTTGCTGGGAAATCTGATAATTAATTTCCATTTTTCGTGACCTTTACAATTTTGCTGCTCGATACTTTGCCTTCAATGGAAATGCACTGAACTTGAAAAAAAATCACAAGTCAATGATGTATAAGTGAATAGCTGCAAAGGCTAGTTTTGTGAAACATTATCGAGTCGAGTCGATTGCACTGTGTTACACACAACTGCGACTTCTATTCACCCGAACAACCCTCCTCGTTCACACCCCATTAGACCCCACACACCGGAGGTGGATGAAAAGGAGGAGTTGTAAGCTGAGGGCTGTGTCCGGGGGTGGGGGTGAACGTGGGAGGTGGGTGTTGAGTGTGAGCGAAGGGGGGAGTGTAAACGGGGGTATTAACTGATTCAACAACTTTATGATGTATTAGTGAATAGTTGCAAAGGCTAGTTTTGTGAATAATAACACAAAAACAACATAGTAATCGAGCGAACATAGGCAACAGACAGTTGGAAAAAAGTCAATTAAAGCAAGTAAACAGAAAAAGATACTGACTTGATTTACTAAAAAAAACTTTAGCTTTCGAATTTCCAAGAAAAATATAATCAACTGAGCTAGAAAAGAGTAATCAATGCAAGAAACTTCAACATTCAAATTTCAAAAATATATCTATGCCCTTAAAGCTCTTTGAATTTCACGAAAAAATTTTGACTGGTTCTTTTTTGATAAAAGTAACCCAATTTGAAAAATTTGAATCAGTAGATAAGTTTTTTATTCCGCTGGGAAATCTGTAGAATAAATTCCACTTCTGAAACTAGAAATTACACACGTTTTTATGTGATCTTTTACACTTTTGCTGTTCGATAGAAAAAAAACGGAAGGAAATGAAATTAAATATAAGAGAGGAAATGAATTGATTTGAACGGAAATCAAAAGTCAAACCGCAATTAATCAAAAGTGAGCGTGACCAACTCAAGACTTTTTCCTGAAAAAAAAACAAAAACAATAATAGAACCTTTAGAAGAATACTCACTATGTTCATTACTCTTAAAAATATATAGCCTTAGAGCTCTTGGGATAAAATTAACCCCATTTGAAAAAAATGGATCAATAGGTAAACATTTTATTTCGCTGAAAAATCTGATAACTAAATTCAATTTTCAAAGTTACAAATCAATCACGTTTTTTGTGTGACGTTTATACTTTTGCTAAACTAAACTTAAAAATGTCAAAGACAAACAGCAAAAAAGTAAGTTTGAGCTGGAACAAAATTGCGGACGTTTCCTGAAACACAACAAAAAGTCATCAAGATTGTATATAAGACTCTGAACAAGCAATCAGGTTGATTTAGAAAAAATTGAAAAAACAAGTGTCTAAATTGGAAAAAAAAGTGTTCATCTCGAAAGTTGTTCACTCGAAAGTTCTTCAATTAGAGGAAAACATGTCGAGAAGCACAATCACCATCAACCTTAAGCGTAACACTTGACTGCATTAACCAGATGTATCGAGCGACAACTAATCAATAAAAACATAGGTAGTCGTCAAAAACAAAACTGTTTTCTTTAAAAATTTTGAGCTAAAAAATGCGAAGTTTGTACTGTACGCCCCGAGAAGCAAAAAAATGTTGGAATTTTTTTTCCTTGAAAAACGCCACATAAAATGACAATGCCAATATAACATAAACCGAAGCCATTTAGGGCGAAGCTGTAAAAAAACAAAATATACAAAATCAGAGTTGGTAAATTTATAAATTACAGAAATAAACTTTAGACACTTTTAGTTATACGGAAAAAAGTTGAAATCACAATTACTGTCCGAGCTCTGGAAAATAAGCCTAAGTAACA